AAAAAAAAAAAAAAAAGCCCTAAATGGATGTCAGGGTAGGGATGGGTTATTCCACCCATACTCTGGAAACTTTATCTGTGTGGCTGATAGATCAAAATCAATGCATTTAACCGTGATAAGAGGAACTCAGATTTAATGTGAGACAAAATTTCCTTACATTTAGACCACTGCAATGTTGCCTACCCATCCTCTACCTCTATTCTTTCCCCATTCAATCCACCTTTTTACAATATAACACTATCATTCCTTGCTCCAAAATCATTGACAGCTCCCCATTGCCCAAAGAACAGGGTGCAAATTCCTTCACCTGGCATTCAATGTCCTCTACTTCTACTATAAATTTCCTAACTAACAGTAGCTTCCAGGAATGAAAATTGTGAGAACATGCACTTTTCTTCTGGAAGTATTTATATACAAGCCAGATTACCCCACATAAGGGATTCCAAAAAATAGCAGCTGGTCTCCAACAAGCCCTCTCTCTCTCTTCAGGAAACCATGACTCTTAGTATTCATACCCTGTGTAGTTCTCACCTTGCATCTGAACTGGTCCTGTGACCAAGAGAACAGAGGAAATGACACCATGTGACTTCCAAGGCTAGGTCATGAGAAACCTTGCCACTTGTGTCTGGATCTCTCCATACACTCGCTTTTGGGACGCTTCCACTCAGAACCCTGTTGTGAGATGCCGAAGTCACACCAAAAGACCACATACAGGCACTCCATTCAACAGCCAGTATCAAGTGCCAGCCACATGAGTGAGCCAGTGTAGACATCCAGCCCAGCCAAGCCTTCAGATGACACCTGCCCCAGTCTCCAAGACTACAACAACATGAGTGACCCCAAGCAAGAATCGCCCAACTAGCTCAGTTAATCCACAGAACCATGAAAGACAATAGAATGCCAATTTTTTTTTTTTTTTTTTTTTTTTTTTTCTTTTCTTTTTCTTTTTTTTTTTTTTTTTGAGTCGGAGTCTCACTCTGTCGCCCAGACTGGAGTGCAGTGGCCGCTCCCGGCCACCGCAGCCTCGACCTG